ACAGACAGAAGCACCCACACCCCTGGTCACGCACACAAACAAACACACACACACCCTCGGTCCAAAACAAAAACAGTAGCCAGCTCACGCAAAACTGTCCTCCGCCGGCCACCGGCCACTCCTATCCGCCGCCGCCGGAGTCGCCATCACCACTTTCTTCTTCTGACTCACATCCCTCCCACTCTCCGGCTGAAGTTGATCTTGATCAGACCCCTTCCTCTTCACAAGCCCCTTCTCCACCATCGCCGCCAGCACCATGTCCTCCTCCTCACCGCTCCCACCACCAACAACACCCTTCTTCCCCAACACCAACCCATCCAGCCTCCTCACCCTCCCACACCGCTTCCGCACCATCGTCTCATACAACCGCCTCCTCACGCGCGTATCCATATCCAGCCGCGCGCAGTACCGCGCATCCCTCTCGGCGTCCTGATCCCCCAGCACAAACAACCCCTCGCCCGCCCCCTCGCCATCACCATCCCCACCGCCCTCATCCTTCTCACCGTCTGCCCCCTTCCGCTGGTGCACAACCACCTGCACAGGCGCATAGAACCCCTGCGTGAGCGGGTTATCCCGCAGATCAACCGCGGCCAGGCAGGCCATGCTGGCGAGGGTGCCGATGACGCGGGCGGGGTCGGCGAGGCGATTGCCGACGGCAAAGAGGCGCTTGAGGCGCGGGACGGCGCGCAGCGGGGCGAGGTCGGTCAGGGCGTTCATGTTGAGGTTGAGGACGCGCAGGTTGGGCAGCAGGAGGCCGACGTCGTCGGGGAGGGTGGACAGGCCGCAGTTGGCGAGCTCGAGGAGTTGCAGGTTGAGCAGGTCGATCCGGGGGGAGAAGGATTCGAGCAGGTTGCCGGAGAGGTACAGCTTGCGGACTTCGTACGCGCGTGAGAGCAGGTGGGCGAGGTCCAGTGGTGCCGTGCCGTGTTGCTCGCGCAGGGAGAGGGAGTCGATGCGGCGGGCGCGGGAGAAGCCGGATATGTGAACCAACGCGTTGCGGTCGGCGTGAAGCAGGCGTAGGTGTGGGAGGGCGCGAACATTGAGCGTGGTGAGATTGTTGTCGTCAAGACGGAGGTACCGAAGGGCGGTCATGGGTTGATCGGCGTCGACCGAGAAGGAGGTGAGCTGGTTCGAGTCGAGGTTGAGGGAGCTCAGGGAAGGAAGCTGGTCGATGTTGGTGATGTGGCTGATCTGATTGTTTTTCAGATCGAGATCGGTGAGCTGGTGCAGCGTGTTGCCGTCAAAATTCACCTGCTCGATCAGGTTCCCTCGCACGCGGAGAGTCTGCAGCCCCTTGTGGAACTTGATGCCGTCTAGATTGGTGATTTGGTTGTTGTCCGCCCGCAGACTGCGCAGGTGGATAAGGTTCTTGAAAACCGAAAGGCTAGTAAGCGAATTGTTCGAGACGTCGATGTACTGCAAGTTCATGAGGTGGTTCCAGGCCGTGAGACTCGACAGCTGGTTGTCCGTTATCCGCAGATGCAGGATCGACGAGGGAATCCCGCCAAGATTCCTAATCATGTTCTTGGAGACATCGAGACTCTCGAGCTGCCCACAGTACTGGTCAAGCGCTTGCAGTGCGCTGAGTCGCTTCTCGCGCAGCTCAAGCTCTCGCATGTCTTCCCAGTACGGCTCGAAGGGTTCTACCTCGGCAAGCTTGTCAACCAGCTCGCGCATGGCCATTGACATGATCCGCTTCGATTTATCGCCCGTGACAAGGCGATGGCCATCAACCACATAGCTGGCTTCGAGGGGCAGCGTCTCTTCCGCACGATGCATCCCAAAATCCGGAAGCGGGCTGAGAGAAAATGTGCCCACGTATTGGCTTATTATGGGGGCGGCGTCGACACCAGCAGCAGGGCAAGCAGGAGCCCTTCCCGGAGTTGCGACCAGGATACTCAGGCTGCCATGCCCTTCGCTGTCGTCACGGTTGGCCAGGCTGTAATCCCCCAGGACGCTGAGTTCCATGCCCGAAACTGCTTCATGGTCCCGGCCATTGCCCACAGTAGAATCCTCATCCCGTTCATCGATCCTGGATACGGGGCGTGCCATTAGAGATTTACCCCGGAAGGAGAGATGGCGCGCCGGGCCGCGCGAGGTGCTGCGTGACCTGGCTGACCGACTGGTGGTTTTGTGAATCGACACTATCCTCCGGCCCCTAACCGGTTGGTCGCGGTTGTCGGTCGCCTGATCGAGCATGTTATCCCCTGACCTCATGTCATTGATGCCGGCCACGTCCTGGATCACAGATGCGACGGGAGACGAGAAACTGATGGTGAGTCGCTTGGTCTCTACCCGGCCTTCGTTGACACTGATTTCATGCTCGACGAACTCTTCGGCGCTACCTAGATTCGGGTATTGGTTGGCTGGCGACGCGGCGGCTGCGTCAAGGGCGGCCCTTGTAAGTGAACCCACTCTATGCGGCTTCGTCGGGCTGATCTGCGCGGTGCTAGGAACACGATCTTGGAGCGTCTCCTCCTTCTTTCTAGTTAGGAGGAGGTTCTGCATTTCCCTCGTCACGTCGACAGATAGGTCCGGAATGTCGGCAAACGGGTCGTCCTCGCTAATGTCGGACTGTATGAAGCTCTCTTTTGACTCGGCCGATCCCTTCCTTTTGACCCACATGTTGCGCTGCCTGTCCAGGATCATGTTCCCAACCTGATCCGGAATCAAGTGACATACGCTCTCCGGCATGATTGTTTTTCTTGCCTCAGATCCTCTCGATGAACCCGATGACACGGTCGGGAAGGAAACCCCCGTGCTCTGGGTGTTGAAACGCGCTGAGCCTTGAGCGGGCATGGCATCGTCGGGGCCATTGACAGATTGTTGCTCTTGCCAATCGGGGTTCCGGGAGATGCGGATGTTGGGGGGATCGCTGACAAAATCAGAATGGTGCTCGGATGCTTGGCTTTGGTTGTTGGCCCATTCCGCCGTCGCTTGCTCCCTTGCGACTTCGGCAAGCCGAGTAGAACGCACTGATGACGGCATCAGATCACCCATGTCGCTAGCTTCTTCATACTTCTTGAGCTGCTCGGCAAGGACTGGGTCTTCCTGCTTCGTGGACATGCGCGTGAGTGGAGGACGTCCCTCGCGGCTGGGAGGACGGGAGAATGGTTCCTGGGTCGACTCCTCAAAGGACCCGTCGAGTTCTGGCGAGGGTTGGCCTTTCTCCTCGTCAGATTCTTCGACGCTGGCAAGACCGTTCGGCAAGCCGGCCTTGCTGCGGATCATGGCCATGATTTTGTTTGCTTCATTGATGAAGTCCTCAGTCTTGATAGATGGTTTTCGGTGTGTCTCGATTGTGGCACCCACCGGATGGGCGAGCGGAGGTTGCGAATGCCTGCTTGAGCGCCCAGGCGATCTCTCCATTTGGGAAAGGGGCTGGCGCTCCCGCTGGATCGAAGACCTCTGGTTTGGCGTCGGCGTCCGGGGCCGTATCGATTGGCGGCCGTCGAGGTCCGCCGCGCCATGCTGGCTGCTGCTGTGGGCGTCTTCCCTGAACCGGCCCAGGGCCGGTCGTCCCTGATGGTGTGACAGTTGGGCGGAGTCGGCCACTGAGTTGAACTCTTCGGTCCCATATGAAACGTCTGATCTGTGCAAGGTCCTCCGCCGCTTCGGAGTAGGATCCTTCGACGGCGATGTGCGGGGCCGCTTGAATTCTGGACCAGACAAGTCTCTCCGGCCCCCGGGTGGAGAGAGGTCGAAATAGGCGGGAAACGAAGCCCTGCCTGCGCGTCGCGACGGGTGGGACGTCGTAGACTTTCGCCGCCGGTCCACCACGAGCTCCGGTGTCTCAAACGGCGAAGAGTCGTGGGTGAGGTCGAAAATGGGTGGGTGGGTTGGAAGGATAGAGTCTTCGTCCGGGTCGCGGTTCTCCTTGTCCCCGTCCATGCCAGTGGCGTCGTGGGTCATGTGGGAGAACTCATCGTTGAATTCGTATCCATCAAGTTCTCCAGCGCCAAACCTGTTGGCATAGGCAGAAGAATGATCGTCACCATTGTGGGAGGCCGGAAGGAGCAACCTTGATGGGCTGTCCCCCTGTAGCCGACTCTCGTCTACGGCTATCGAGAAGGAATTTTCTCCTCCTTGGTCGTGCATCTGGCTCAGGCGTCTCAGGAGGGTTTGGTTGGTAAAGGTATCGTAAGGCTGGAAGAGCTTGAGGGGACTGTCAGGGCTGAGATGCACGGGTACCCGCCGCTTCTCTGGGCTCGGATCTGGGGCCCGTGGGAAGTCTGGGCTATCGGCGGGGATCTTTTGGGACGTGTCCCATTGTTCGACCCTCACGCTCGGAAACTGCTTTGGCGTGCTCGCTTGCAGGGACTCTTCTGGATCCAGCTCGGAGCTGTCGTTGAGAGCGGAACTCAGCACGTGGTTGCGGAACGACCCTTCCCCAGACCGACCCCCTCTTTGGAAGTTGACGAATCCCTCTAACCTAAAATGGTCTTGTGTAATTTCAAGATGTCGCGGTGCAGCCCGGCTTTGGGTCGTGCCGTCGTTGGCATCACCGGTGACGATCATCTGGTTCCGTCGCAACATATCGAGCCGCTTGCGGAGTTCATCGGGAGGCAGGTCGGCGGGACTGAAAGTCGTCGCGCCGTCGCTAGCTTGGCGCCTCTCCAGAATAATGGGACTGAAGTCTTCGTTGCGTATGTCGCTCCGGCCACTGACCTTCCGCGACTCGCCGTCGGCCGACAATGCCGTCTGGTTGATGTTGGAGGTGTGATGCGAACACCCTTCCTGGTGGGTACCGAGCCCGGATTCCCTCCTTGCATCGGCGTGCTCATCGGTGTGTCTGGGTAGCGCCGGTAGGGGCTCGTGATTTAGCGGCCACTGGGACGAATCCTGGTGTCCCTCGTCCACATGTATCTCCACTGTCGATGGATCGCGGTGGTAGTGGTAGGGCGGAGGACTGGATGGGACGGCCACATCCAAGCGTGAGTCGTGTTCTTGGTAAGAGGACTCGGTCCGCCCGTTTTGTGACGGGCCTGACATTGCTAGCGGAGGCTTGAACATATTCTCCAATCCTGTGCCTGCCGATGTAAACAAATCCTTTTGTTCCCCATACGACAAGTCCCCGTACACAAGACGCCGCTTCCACTCGGGTGTCTCGCCTCCCTGCCCCTTAGACTGCGAGGCGTTCAGCGACTTACGCAGAAAGCTCTTGCGGACGACGGAGTTAGTAGTCGAGGCCGAAGCGGAGCGGCATGCATGGCAATCGCGGCCATTGGGACTCAGCTCCTGTGAGAGTTTGGATGGGGTGCGACGGAGGGCGGCCAGTCGCTCATTTATGCTTCTTTCGCCGAGAATATTCCCACTGGCGTTACTGGTGTTGCCGGTGTTACTGCCGGCCTTGTTGCTGGGGCCGCTCTTGTTGTTACTGCCACTCGCACCGAGGACGGCGTTCTGGAATTTCCTGGCGTGGGGACTCAGACGCGGGATCCTACTCGGTGTCTGTGGTTTTGGCAACTTTGGGTCGGGGGAGGGAGCAGCTTCGGCAAAGGACGCGTCGGCAGATCCAGGCTGCGACACCCAGTCCTCCGACAAGGAGTCCAACCAGGCGTGCCCCATGGTGGTGGCGCGGGGTGGATATCGATGTGGGTGTATGCGTGTGGATGTGTGGATGCGTGGATGCGTGGATGTGTGTCTGTATGCGGAGGTGATGCTGGTGTTAGGCCGACATGGAGTCGTGGGACCCTGGGATAGAACGGTGCCCGTTGTTTGGCGAATTATTATTGAATGCACTGTTTGGCGGGGTTGTCGAATTGTCGGCTTGTCGGCTTGTCAGGTTCTTGGGCCTGTCACGGCATTCTGCAGAGCGGCAGGGCTGCAAAGATAACTGTAATTGTACCCCTGATTGCCGTCGCAAAGCCACTTGAATGCGGCGATGGATAAGAAAGGAGATGGTACTGCACCAGTCAAGACACTACCCGAAAGGAATGCGGGTTTGGGTGAGTTATCGACATGTCAGGGCAATCGAGATTGGTCAATCTCAAAGCTCAGTCAATTGGGGGCATCCAATCCGCGTTTTGGGGGTAAACACGAGCGGATCCTTTGATTGGCGAGTGCTTTTCCTTGGTCTTATTCCCCCAGCAACCGGCCGAGCATTGACCCCGCCAGTTGAAAGAGCTTGCAGGTCATCTCAGCTGACTGCGCGAGGCCAGTTTAATTGATGCAGCGCGTCTCAATCGCGTCTTGCTCCACTTCCTGTTGGGGGGCCCGGGGCAACCTGCAGCCACCCACCCTGGCCTTTCCACAGCGCTAACAGATGTGGGAGAAGAGGGAACAAACAGATCCGTGCGACAAGCATCCAACAACCTTGAATCTACCGAGGTACCTATGTAATATCAACAACCTCACAATACCGCAAAGCGATAAACTCCGAACCTACGCCAAGCAAAATATCCAATGTACTCAATAAGCCCAACATTACAACCATGAAACGCCGTTTTGGAACTGCAGACCTGGAATGGCTGCACCCCAATAACTTCTGCGACGAACCGATTTATTGCGAACCCCCTCATAATCCCGACGAGATCCTCTACCACGGCTCCGACGACGAGGCATACAGCAGCCCTACCGAGCGCCGTCTTCGTTTCGAAACACAGGCAGAGCGCTTCCTCGAGGGGAAGCCGGTATTTTTACTCTCGGCCTCCTTGCGTGGACCGTTCGACAGGGAATCCGGCTGGGTGAATCCATGGCGCTCCAAATCAACCTTCCGAGAGAAGTCGGCTCGGAGGAAAAGACTGGCAGTGTCGAGGGGAACCGTACCGCAAGTCGAATCAAGCGACCTCTTCGACTCAAGCTTTCGGCAGCCGACTCCCGAGCGCAGGCCCGACCCCCCTGAAGTCACCTACACACTGCCGCGGTATATGGATGGTGACGCTTTCCATCGAGTGTGGAAATGGCGGGATGCCGTGGTCGCCGAGAGCGATGCCCCTACGAGCTCCATCCAACAGGTGTCGCAGCCGGAGCCCACTTCAGCCGATTCGAGGAAAGCAACACAGCATACCTATCGGAGACAATCAAATATGACGGCCATGATTTTGAACGAGCCTGAGAGTTCTGGACCGGACCTACCGGTTACGACTGGTCCAATTGTTGCTCCAGGCCAGGTTAGAGCCAACCAAACCAGCTCTAGTTCTAGCCTTTCACCGCCGCCAATAGACCTGCTGGACCCGACACAATCCTCTCCGCATTCTTTTGGGATTCACGACGAGCTTGCCCTCCCAGACAGAAGCTGTCTATACCCGACAACGGAAGGATCGCCTTCAACCAAGGTTCCAGCGGCTGGTTGGCGCTTGGAGGACGGGAACGCTACACCCAACGGTATCTTCCCGGAGGCAACTGTGTCTTCTGTCCAGGTAAAGACGCAGGCGAGCGCCCGGGCGGATGGGAGCTTCCGGTACCGGCGAAAAGGCGCGAGGGGGAAAGAATCGGCTTTAGGCAGGAGTTCGCTGCTGTATCCCCCGTCAACGCCTAGCGATACAGCAGACCACGAGAATCCTGGTGGCCGGGCATCTCCAACAAGTACGGCGGTGAAGAAAGAAGCACCACAGTCGGATATTGCTAGGGCGCCTTTGGTCGATGCTGCAACCATCCGTCCTGATATTGTTCCAAAAGTTGAAGAGGTTCAAGAGCAGGGCATACTTGAAGATGCGCCTCAAATCGAAACTTCTCAGAACTCCCTTCAGTCGGCCGAAGAGGCAGCTGGTCAGAGTCCAAGTCAAGGCCAGATCAAGAATGAGGATATGACAGAAACTGCCTCGGAAATTGACGGACCTACGCTGGTTCCTTCATCGTCGCCATCTGGCTCAGAACACCTCAGCAGCATGCCCAGCTTCGGGCACTTTTCAGTAGAGAGGCACTCGCAGGACATTATCTCAGAGGCTGCTGGAATGCCTCGGAGATTACTTTGGCCCAAATCGCGGCGGAGTGCTAGCAGGAGCGAGTTCCTCCCCGTGTCTAAGCGAGAAGCTGTCCACACTCCAGCATCGACACCGTCGGGCCTTGGGTCTGGGCGTTCCGGCTCAGTGTCGTCGAATGGTTCGATTCAGACCAAGGAAAACATACACCCACCGGAGGAAAATGAGGATGACCAAGGACCGACAGATGCTATCGAGGATTGCGTTCAAGAAGACCCCGCCGCGGTTGGTGAAGTGGTCGTAGAAGTGGGAGGCATCGACATGGAAATGGCGACAGATAGCGAAACAACAAGCGAGGATGAGAACGGGGACGAGGACGAAGATACACCCGAGACTGAGGAACTGCAAGCCGAACCGCCCGCCGATTCCGATTCCAGAGGTGACAGAGACAGGCATATGCAACCCGCCTCGTCTTGTCCGGCTCCACAGATTCAAAGCCCCTGGGCAACCGACGATGCACCACCCCGTCCGAGGTCACATAACTCCCAACCGCAACACAGCGAAGTCGGAATAGGCGGTACTGAGCCGACCTTCTTCGAGTCCATCCAAAGTCCGTGGGTTAAGACGGAAGATGACGTACACGATTCCGACATCCCCACACGACTTCCCGACCCCCACCCCGCGAACACAAAACTGTCCTTCATGGCAAGTCAAGCACTTGAGCCAAAAGTATCACAAAGTCCCTGGGCACGAGGCGATTCGCAGTTACAACTGCCGGAAACCCGGCTGTTCAACCATCTGTCCTCGCCCGCCAACAGTCATATATTACCGACCATCGACCCTGTCCCTCACTCCCAGGTGCCCCACAACGAGGACATCGACATGCGCGATTCCCAACTGTATCCTCAGCCCCCATCAACCCCTGAGACAAAGCAATCAAGCCTCCCAACTCCCGATTTCACTCTCTCAGTCAAGTCGTTCAAAAACTTCATGACTCCCTCCCCACGACCTGCCACCAAGCGACGCCGCGTCTCAACCGTGGCCGATGACCACCTCCCTAGCACACAAGCCCTCGTCGACGCAACCATCTCCAACCCGTGGACCCGACCGCCCACGGTAAAGAGACCGAAACCAACACCAGGGCAATCGCATCAACACCGACCAATCAAACGCGTCTCTTGGGCCCTCCTACCGGACGAGACCGAGCCCTCACCCTTCTTTGACCCAGACTCGACAACAACAACCACCATCACCAACCCCTCCACCCCCAACACCAATCACCCCCCGTCATCATCCTCCCAGCAACAAACCAACCCCCACCAAACTCACACCCCCACCCTCCGCCCGCGCGCAACCTCCCCCCCACCCAGCATCCTCTCCACCACCAACCTCCCCGACGCCGACGACAAATTCCGCGGCCACTTCGCCGCCGTCGCCAGCAGGCGCGTGGGCGCCACCCCGCTGCTTCAGCGCCTGAGTGCCGCTGCGACTGTTACGGCGCTGGCTAACGCTACCCCTGCTGCTGCTACTCCTACTTCTTCTGGTGGGGGTCGTGGTCGGGGTCGCGGGCCGATGGTGCGGTTGCTGCCGAGTGCGTCGCAGCAGGTGTGTGAGAGTCCCGGCGTGGAGGCGATGGCGGAGGCGTTTTTGAGGGCGGAGGGGGGGGTTGAGATGGGGGGTGGTGGTGGTGTTGAAGTTGATGCTGGTGTTGGTGTTGGTATTGGCATTGGTGGTGTGGAAGATAGAGAGGCTGGGATGGCGTTTGAAAACGAGGGTTCACGGGGACTTGAAGAAGGAGAGGGAGATACGCTGGGAGAGGTCGAAATGGAGACAGAGGGTGATGTGGAAGGAGAGACTCGGGAGGAGGTGGGAGAGGAGACACAAGAGATAGTGGTCGATGAAGTCAGTGCGGTGATGGAAAACTTGGATGATTTTCTCGGGGGCAACTGGGATCTCGATGCTGATCTTGCCAAAGTGAGGTCAGATCAAGCAAGGGAGAGTCGGGGACATGGCAGTGACGGGCCCAGGTTGTCGGGGTTGATGGATGTTGGTGTTTGGGATTGAGAGTTGATAGGGACAACTGTCTATGAGGGTGTTGGGTGGTTTGGTTTGGTTTGGCTTGGGCCCGGTGTTTATTGTTATTATACCCTGGAAGGACGGCGGTTCGAAGCATATATGAGAAGACGTTGAAACTTTGTTTCAGAAAACACTTTCAGTTTGTCTTTGTATGTGACGCAGTGCTCGCCTGGGTCAAGAGAAACAACCCTTCCAAATCAAGCAGACACTTGATCATGTAGAACGGGTTTTCTGCCAAATTGATATGTTCTACGTACCTGAGTGAGGGTATACCTCTCGATAACTACGTTCTCCGGCGAGGTGGGAGTTGCTCGCCTTCTCGAAACGTACTTGGTCAACGGCCGAGGTGCGATCGTGGCAACGACACTCCAATATAAAACTCATTAGAAGGCCGGCAAAAAACACCTAACTATCGGGTGCCGCGTGATTACCAAAGACGCGAGTTATTATTTAATTCTAACTAGGCCATTATCTTCAGACGCCTCCGTCTGTTGTACATCGGCCTTTTGAGGCATAGGAAGGGACTAGCTAGAAACATGGGTCATAGAAGTGATCTCTATCGACTGTACCTGGCTGCTTCTGGTTCGGCAAGCCAGTAGCTATCAAACATGCCTAGGCCAGAATTCATTCGCGAGCAGCCGAGAACACTTCCCAGGCATTGATAGATCACGAGCCTTTCCGGCCCACATACCAATCAATATCAACGAGTGAAACTGTAACGCTAGCAGGTGGGTGATATCACCAGCCTATTTACCCCGCTTGCTTGCGTTGATGATATGCTCTATTTCGTCTAGTCTCGCATGATCGGTGGATTTGTTACGTACAAGGTGCTGAATGGCCCAAGAGGGATTTTCTCGATCACGACCATCGGAGGCTGGCTGAGAAGAGCGCCGATATGTTGTTTCCTGACTAATAGCATAGCGCTCCGGTCGTCCGCTGAAGCCCCGAACTGTGTCGTTTGCGTAACCGTGTCTTCAGCGGCTGTTGCATCTGCGGTCACTTACCTATGGGATGCCAGATATCACCCACGACAGCATTGCCCCTTGACCCGGCAGGTCGACACGTGTTCTATTGCCGTCAATGGGAAGAAGGAGGCCTCCGAGATGAATTGGGTTTCCAGAAGAGTCGTATGAATGACGGGAGAAGGTTCCCGACACACAAGATGGTAGCCCAATCCCCCGGAGCGATCAAAGCATGCGGCTTGGAGAGTGAAAGTCAGGGGCCTAGTCGACGTCTCACAACATGGAGAATGGCACACATGGGCCGGTCATTGGCTCTCCAGGGGCTAGACCCTTTTCGAGACAATGCCTGGGTGGGGAGACGAGCCCGAGAACCCAGCGTCGTGAACCGGACGCAGCATGCGGTGTAACCCCTGGCAAGACTGACGCTATTTCGCCAGGATACCGCGGTAAGCAGGCAAAGGTGAGCCACATCCACAAGTGGTGGGTGTCTCGTCTCGTTTCTGCGAGCAAGAGCGCCAAGACCGTTCCACAGCGTAGTTGTGCCGTTGCTTATCGTCTTCGTCTACATTTAGAGTGCCGGGAAAGGGGGTGGGAGGCGTCGCTACACAGAGCCTCATCGGTGACGCTGATAATATCTCGCCGCGCCGGGAGACTCCGAGCAATCTGGAGCACGCGATAGGTTGAGGTACAGCATGATGGGCGTGTCTCGACCATTGAGCAATGCGACTGCTGTTTTTGCTCAGGGCAGAAGGACAGCGTGAAAAGGGATACCAACTTCGTACCTCAAGGGGTGTGAGGATACCCATCAGCTTGGGACAACTCCGAACTTCCGAGACAGTGGCGCCGGCAGCCCAACCTGTCGGTCACTTCGAATAACCCGGCTTAGACCGGACTATGTCAGGAACATGTCGATATGGAGACATGCCTTCAGAAATGCCACGGCTACTTCATGTATGCCCCTTGTTTTCAGCCCAAACTTGGTTCCGGCTTCACGAGCCCGAGAAAGAAGACGCGGCAGAGCACAAGCGAAGCCGCTGACAATCGAAGCGGGCACTGTGCTCCCAGAGCAAGTTCGCAACGGTGATCGATGAGGAGTGCAGATGCAGGAGGATGCGATGGAAAGCGAGGAACCAAACGGTCAAGGGTCGTGGAGAGCACGTTCTCGGCTGATTGGTTTTGAGGAGTTCGGCTCCCTGATGATGATGCAGGGAAGCAGCTTCCGTGTCGTAGGGCCTCCGCATTCGGCATGAGACGAACCTCGCGACGACAACAAGATCCCGTATCTCGTCAGAGCGCCGTTGCGGTTGATAGGCAGGTGCAAGGAAAGGCCATCGTGATCGAGCCATTAGCGCGCTGCAACGTGCCGTGCCGTCAAGCTGGGGCAGACTCCGCCATCGGTCGAGTTGACAACCTAGACGATAACGTTAAGTGGTTGGCTTACCGTGTAAGACAAAAACCAAGATACTGTGAAGATAACGACGGGATGTATACTCCAAGTGCAATGAAGGTTGGCGGCGATTGACCGTTCAGATCGGCCGGTCCGACTGTTTCGTACCACTGATCGCTTGGCAGAAGCTCGGCTCTGGCGATATCTCTTGTCGGTTGAGGCCGTCCGTGTGCACGAGTTGCGGCATCCAATGGGGGAGCTTCGTTCTGCCCAGAGAAGCCTGTCATGTTCCGGGGCAGAGCAACGTGATCTGGATGGCAGATTCCGTTGCGTAACAGCCACCAATCGATGGAGCCTCGGACTGTGTAGTGGGGTCCCTCAATATCGGAGCTGCCGTCGCTATCTTTCGAGGTTCGGGTTGCAGGGTGATACACCAATCTGTGCACAGTAACGAGTGTCGTGTGGTGGACATGCCTCAGTGCAGATGGCTGGCTGCACTCCGGCTGCAAGGCTTAGCTTTGGCTCGAAATATGGATCGATGGATGGTGGGCTGCATAAATCTAGCTAAACGCTTCTCATTGTCGCGCCTATCCTGTTTTGACAGTTTTCAGCAGAGAAAATTGCAGGCGATCTGCATTATCGTTGCCGGTTCGTAAAAACCAAAAGCCCTTTGGAAGACACCGGGACACGGTGAGAGGAAGGAAAATGGGTCGGACCCCGTAAAGAATTCAGCTTGGTTTCAGGCTATCAAGGTTCGCCAGCCCGTGGCCGCTCTCAGCTGACAAGATGCTCATGATTTATTTCGTGGCGCCTGGTTCCAGTGTTGGCGTTAGAGAGGCGAGACCTTCCAGTTTGACTTTGCTGTGGGTCTTCCCCAGGCTGCCAAGGAGCCATTCTCCAATCGCCGGGTCGAGTATCCACCACACAAACAAATGGCCACACATGGCCCCTTGCGTCAGAGCTTGCCAAGAGCCCACAACCAGCAGCCTGCGTCGCCTGTTTCCATTCCCTTCCTTATCTTGTTGATTTAACTAATAACTTTCCCTTTTGAACTGTCCCTTGCGAACACTGCTCAGAACCCCGCAAAATCCAATCAACCATCCACGCTTGCTGAATGAAAGTTGATCTGGGCTGGGAACACCCGTGTGGCAAACCGGATTTCGCACTACACAGTATATTTCGGCAGGAACCAAGGCATTGCTTCGTGTGGTGTGCAAGCGGGACACTGTACTGTGTTAGTCAATTTACTGGGCACGGTTTTCCCCGGAAACATCTTGTCAATCCTCCCTCCCAATCCAAGAAAGCATCCCCGACACGCGCACACACACACACACCACACCACTTCACAGCAGCGCATACCTTTATGCGCCGCCAGATGTTTTACTCATGTCTAACCCGTCCCGTATCCCCGAAAATGCCGCAGCCGCAGATGCTGAAGCGGTGAGTCCCACTCGGGCTGCCGATGCTGGCGACGCTGTATTCTCTCCTCCCAAATCCCAGACGCAGACGCCACCGCCGCCTTGTCCTCCAGCGACGGCGGCACAAGAAGAAGGGTCCGTCTCGTCGGTACCACCACCACCACTACCACAATCACCCCCTGCCGCCCAGCAAGGCACGCCCGGCTCGATTCCCCTGACCGCTCAAGCCACGGGAATCTCTGCCGCGGCCCATGCTGATCCCGTTAAATATGCCCGGGGCCCTGCCGCCCTGCAAAGGCCCCACGGCCCTTCCTTGCTGACCCAGGCTCTTGCAACAGCTCGCGGTATCCCGAGACACAATCACTCCGACCCGACGCACTCTCATCATCATAAGACACATCCTTCCCAACCCACTCAGCCCTCGTCTGAGCCCCCAGCAGAATCCCACAACAACAACAACAACAACAACAACAAAGACTTCGAGAATCGAGACTCCCATCATCACCATGGCTCTCGGTCCCAAGGCGATGGCGATTCCCTGACAGCACCAGTATCTCCTCGAAAGACGGCCATGGCTTCCTCTACCACCACGTCCACCACAGTGGCCGCCCCAGTCTACGGCAGGCTCGACCTCGGCGAAGTCAATTCGATGCTTAGCGGCCACCGCGAGTTCCTGAACAAGGCCAAGGGCAGAACAACTGGTCCACCCGAGACCCCCGAAAAGGAGCGGCCGGGTCGGTGGAATACCTCTTCTCTCGCGTCGCCACATCTTACCGACTCACCTGCTGCCCCGCACGACGGAACTGGCGATGAAAATGGCTTGACGGACGGACGCCCCCAACCCAGAACGTGGAAGACAGACCATCGCGTGTCTATGGGCCCCGAGAAGGCCTGGTCAATTGGTAATTCAGGAGATTCCCGAGACGGCCAAGACGGGTTGGTCGAGAAGTCCATCTCGGAGGTTCTGGCGGGTGTTGAGCACAACAATCGCAGCCGGAAGGCCAGCCACAGCCTACGCTTCTTCAAGGAAGGCCTCCCCGAGGAGAAGGGGAAACGCAAGGAACAGCGCCCACCACAACCCTCGCGAGAGAAGTCACCTTCAGGGGGGGAACGGCTTGCTGACATTAAGGAGCAATTGGGCGGGGAGACAGCGGAGGCCCAGGCAGTCGGAGACGTCGCGTTTACGATTGAGCGACAAGATCGGCCCCGTTCCCTTCCGACGCGAACCCCCGAGGTGAAGACTGTCCAAGGTTCGCCAGAGGACTATTTTGCCGTGAAGCCCGTCGAGCACGTTGACATCGAACCGGAGGTGCCCGAGAGCAAGTCGGGTGAAGAGGAGTCGCAGGAGCCTGATTCGATAGACTCGGGCCATCAGCCTAAACCGCGGCGAGTTTCCGATCTCAGCATTGGGACGGGAGAGAGCACCGAGGAGGGCGAGGATTCTGGCGAGGAGAAGATCTCGTCAGCCGTGTTTCTGCCACATCAGGCTCCTGAAGAGTCGCCGGAACATTCACCAATGCCCGGGATCCCGCAGAGAATTGTGCCCTCGAGGAGGCAATCGCGACACGGTGATTTCCACCCCTGGCTTGTCAAAGCTGACGAGCCCGAGGCCGATCGTGAACAGGAGAGCCTTGATTTTGAGAATAAGGTCGGGCTAGAAGCTACAGAGTATCCCAGTGTAGCTCCAGAGGTAGCCTCCAGGCAGGTTGAAGAATCCGCCCCTGTTGCCCAACGTGAACCTGCTATTGTCTCCTCCCGCCTGTCTCGTCCGGTTTCCCAATACCGTGAGGATACCATCCACGAACATCAATTGTCACCGGAGCAGCCGCTGGATGCCATTGAGCTGATTCCTTATAAGCATCAAGTCGGGGGCCATACCACTTTGTGGAGATTCTCCCGTCGTGCTGTCTGCAAGCAATTGAACAATCGTGAAAACGAATTCTACGAAAAGATTGAGAAGTACCATCGGGATCTGCTGGCTTTCTTGCCTAGGTAAGCCCCTTTTGATTCATCTCTGTGGCTGGCAAATGTGCTAACGAAACTTGTCCAGATACATTGGAGTGCTGAATGTCACTTTCCAAAAGCAACCTCGCCGCAAGTCTACCATGAAACGGGATGATTCCGCCGCCGTGGATCGCTCTCGTGCGGCCCCGAATGGACCGCCGACGGACGTAAAGAACGGGACGAGCCAGGGCGAAGCAAGCCAGCAGTCTTCCGCACCGCAAACCCCAGCGGCTCGGGTGATCAGCCAATCGATCAAGCAGTCTTCGGGCCAAATTCCGACCGTAACCTTTGCCGATAATCAGCATATCCTGCCGAGAAGCCTTCTTCAACCGACTGGCAGTTCCCCCAATATACTTGGGCGCTTTAGGAGCGCGTCCGGGTCCATGGTATTCGCTAGGCAGGACGGGCGTCCAGTGAACAGCCGGGTCGATCCGTCGCGCCCGAGCCTCCAGGAGCGCCATGCGAACAGCTGGGGCGCTACCACGGTGAACAAGAAATTGCGAAACGAAGTTTTCAATGATGCGTTCCTAAAACAGCCGGTCGCCATCCACCGCCATCGCAAGGGACACCAACGCGTGGCCCGCCGGGCGCTCCATCAGCCACTCCGGCCATCCGAGTCGGACCCGGGTTCGATTGAACCACGAGAGAAGCGATCCCAATCAGCGGGGCCCGCTCGCGAGCCGCCCGCCATGTTGAACAACGGCTCGCACGCGCACACTCAAAGTGACCTCGGCCAGGCGTCCGGTTTCTGCGAGGATGAGGCTGCCCCCAAGGATGTGACTGGGACTAGTGCTCCCGAACCCGAGATCTTGGGACAGTCGCCGGCTCAGAAGAAGAAGCGCCGCTACTCCGGCACCGGTTTGCGTAGGAAGCCGACGGATGTCCAAGAGGGTCGTGGCGACTTGCAGTACTTTGAGGAAGCCGACGACGCGAGCTACAAGGGCGACCGCGAGAGCCCTGCGCCGATGGAGGTATTCCAGGCGTCGCCCGAGCGCGAGCCGGTCCGCGAGGGAGAAGCGGTCGAAGAGCAAGCCCTCGGACCGCCCGTCGGCCCACTCGAGTTTGGCAAGATCCCCCGCCCCATCAACCCCAAGGAAGCCCAGACGCAGCGCGATTCCCGCGTCGAGTACTTCCTCCTCCTCGAAGACCTTACGGCCGGCATGAAGCGCCCTTGCATCATGGACCTCAAGATGGGCACGCGCCAGTACGGCGTGGACGCCAACCCAAAGAAGCAAAAGTCCCAGCAGGGCAAGTGCGCCAAGACGACGTCGCGCGAGCTCGGCGTGCGCGTCTGCGGCCTGCAGGTGTGGGACGCGCAGGCGCAGAACTACGTCTTCAAGGACAAGTACTACGGCCGCGAGCTGAAGAAGGGCGCCGAGTTCCAGGCGGCGCTAACACGCTTCCTGTACAACGGCGTCGACCGCGCCAGCATCCTCGCGCACATCCCCACCGTCCTCCAGAAACTTGACGAGCTCGAGGTCATCATCAAGCGGCTGCGCGGGTACCGCTTCTATGCCGCCAGCCTGCTCATGTTCTACGACGGCGACCTCTCAGCCGACAACAACAACAACAACAGTAACAGTAATGGTAATAATGGCAACTACTACGTCGAGGACTCCACCACCGACTTCGCCACCGACACGGAGGAGGCGCCGCGCCGCGCGAGGAAGAACCCGCGCGAGATCGACTTCAAGATGGCCGACTTTGCCAACTGTGTCACGGCGGGCGACCTGTCGTCCCGCGACAGGCCCTGCCCGCCCCGCTATCCGGACGAGCCGGACCGTGGGTTTTTGAGGGGCCTGAGGAGCCTGCGCAAATATTTTTTGAGGATCCAGAGAGATACGAGGATTGAGTTGGGGCTGGTTTGCCAGCTGCGGAATAATGCCAATGGCAATGGGAGCGTGTTTGAGGGGGAGGTGGATGAGGAGGATGAGGGGTATACGAGTGTGTGAGGCGGGCCCGTTTGGGGTGGGGGTTGTTGTTCAGATGGTTGGTGATGGTATATTATTATGTTCTATGTTTTGCTGGGCTCGCTTCTTCAACCTTCAAGCTTGCTTTGCTGTGTACTTAGGGACCGGGGGGTGGTTGGGGTGACGGTGTTTGGGCGTTGGTGGTTGGGGGTTGCTGATGTATTATGTTTTGCTCTGGTCGGGTAGGTCAGACATACCCTGCATGGTCTATTTATTGAGCGGTGTATTTGTTTCCCGGCTTCGGCTGCCCCCAGCGCAGAGACTGTTTCGTGTGAGGGCATGGCAGTTAGTCCACTGGCATATATCTGGCGTTGCTAACGCTAGTCAGCTTCAGTGTGCGTGTACAGGGGCTGAACGGGGATGGTATGGTGTGCACGAATATGTGTAGTTAGTTAGCTAGACAAAATCAGGTCAGGGATCTTGAAGTTGATTTATATTGTGTTGTGTGTGACTTGAGGTCGACATGCTCCAGCATCGTCTAGAACTGCTTTACCACGAGCGGTAGATCCAAGATACCTAACCAATTTCAAACCAACCATGATATCAAATATATATAGAGACCATAGGAAGGATATGGTATACGTAAACAAACAAGGTACCCAGGTACGGAATCCCTATGTTCTCAAGTCCCTCGGGCCCACCAAAACCACCTTCCATCCCATCTCGACCACCCACGCCCGCTTCACCGCGCTCTTTCCCGCCCCTCCCCGCCATCCCAACTCTTCCCCTTCGGTACTAGATATAGAAATTCCACGTGCCCAATCGTCACCCACACCCCCAAGTACCGCTACGGGTGCCGCAGCGGTTCCAACTTGGGGCGTTGTGCGGTACACATCACGGGTTCGAGACGTGGTCTCTCCCAACGAAGTAAAACCCCAAGGGTTTTCGTAGCCGCCGACCCCTCAGTTGCGTGGTAACTAGGGTTGGACGGTGAGCTTATTGTAATTTATTATAGATTTCTTTTGACTTGATGCGAGTCGAGCAAACAAATTACACACTTGGTCGCCGACGATAGACAAACAGGTATGGTATGGTATATATACATCCACCCAAACCCACATCCGTATCCGAAACAAAACCCACCACCCCCCCTACAACTTCGCCTTCAACTCCGCCACCCTCCTCTCCCCCTCCCCCCTCCGTCTCTCCTCCCCCTCCACCAACACCCGATCCCTGACCTCCCCCTCCTCATGTCCCTCCCTCCCCAACAGCGCCACACTCTCCCGATACATCTCCGCCTTCATCAGCCCATAGATCCCCGTCGCGGCCTTCTTCGCCAAACCCCTCTCCCGCACCAACCCCAACGCCGCCTCCAAACCACCCACCCCGTCCACCAGCCCCGCCGCCATCGCCGCCGGCCCGCCATACCGCCGCGCCTCCATCACCAGGTCGCGGTAGGTGGTGGGCCGGGAGCTTGAGCCGGAAGATGCTGCTCATGGCGGCTTTTGAGCGGCACGCTCGAAGTCCAGCTCGTTGACGCACGCGAAGCCGCGGGTGGCGTTCATGATCCGGTAGTCATGGTGCATGGCCGAGCATGAAGGCCGCCGGCGAAGGCGTGGGCTGGGTAGGAACGCCGATTGGTGGGCATGGGGTAGCTTACACGAGGGGGATGTTTTTTTTTGGTTGGGTGTGTCTGTGTTTGGGATGGTATGGTATCGATGGGTGCGGGGGTTTTGGTGGGGGGTGGGATGGGGGATGGGGGATGGGGGATTGGGGGATTGGCGGGGAGAACGTACGTCAAGAACCGGTGGAAA